CCCCCCAGGTGTACTGGCTGGGGCCGGTGCTGGGCTCGCTGCTGGCCGGGTTCCTCCATGACTTCCTCCTGGCTCCCTGCGCACCCCGGGACCAGCTCCGCTCCTGCCTGCCCTGCAGGGCCGTGGCCACCGGCCCGGCCCCCGCCGCGCCCCCCGCCCGCAGCCCCACAACCCCATAGGAGCTGGGGCCTGGATCCCGTTCCCCCATCATTAAAGCCGGGTTTGGGTCCGACTGTTTCTATTGTAGGGGGGTCCCAATGGGGCTGCAAGACCCCGATGCCCCCCCCCTCCTTTCCCATGCGGGTTCCCCCTCCCTGCGGCCCCATAGGGAAGGGAAGGGGGGGAGCCGGGGGTCTGGATCCCGTTCCCCATCATTAAAGCAGGGTTTGGGTCCGACTGTTTCTATTGTAGGGGGGTCCCAATGGGGCTGCAAGACCCCGATGCCCCCCCCCTCCTTTCCCATGCGGGTTCCCCCTCCCTGCGGCCCCATAGGGAAGGGAAGGGGGGGGCCGGGCCCCCCATGGCTGCCCCGTGCCGGGCGCTGAGCGCAGCAAAGCGCTTTGTGGCAGCCTCTGCAGCCCCGGCAGATTCCGATGGGCGCCAATGGCCGCGCCGGGCTCTAATCCCCCCCCCGGGGGCCGCTAAGCCGGGCTCAATCAATGCTCCCCCACCACAACAGCGCAGGGGGCCCCGATCCCCCCCTCTATGTGTGGGGCAGGGGGAGGTGCTCCCTGTATTGTGCTCCCACCCATCTATGGGGCAGCGTCGTGTGGTGTCCGTCCCCCCCCCATAGCAGCCCTATGGATGGAGGAGGGGGGGGATGTCCCCGATGGGGGGGGGGGGGTTCCCTCTTTGTGTGCCTATGGGCAGCGAAGGGGTTAATGAAGGGGAAAGGGGGGGTGCGGGATCAGACCCCGGGGGGGGCGGCGGGAGGGGGGGGGGGGTTATAAAGGGGTTTGCGGGCGGCCCCCCGGGGAGGGGAGCGGAGCGGGGCCGCAGGAGCGGGGCCAGGCAATGCGGGAGCTGCGCTCGTCCTCCTTCTGGAGGGCCGTGCTGGCCGAGTTCCTGGGCAGCCTCCTCTACACCCTGCTGGGGCTGGGGGCGTCCCTGCGCTGGGTGCCGGGGCCCCCCAATGTCCTGGGGGCTGCCCTGGCCTTCGGGCTGGCTCAGGCCACCCTGGTGCAGGCACTGGGAGCCGTGAGCGGCGGCCACATCAACCCGGCCGTTACCATGGCCATGCTCATGGCCTCGCAGCTCTCGGTGGCCAGGGCCGTCGGGTACCTCCTGGCCCAGGTGCTGGGGGCGCTGGCCGGGGCCGGGGTGCTCTATGGGCTGACACCGGCTCCGGTCCGCGGCACCCTCGGGCTCAGTGCGGTGAGCGGGGATCATGGATGGGGGGGGGGTTTGGGGGTGTCATAGGGGGGGATGGAGGGGTTAAGGGGGGGGTTATTGGGGCTGGGAGGTGATTGGGGCTTTGGGGTTCGGGGGGGCTTTAATGGGGATTGAGGGGGTTAGGGTCATAGGGGGCTGGGAGGTGATTGGGGCTTTGGGGTGTGGAGGGGGGTAATGGGGATTGAGGGGGTTAAGGGCTGCTAGGGGATCTAGGAGGTGCTTGGGGCTTTGGGGGTGTGGAGGGGACTTTAATGGGGGTTATAAGGGGTCTGGGGAGGTGTTTGGGGCTTTGGGGTGTGGAGGGGGGTAATGGGGATTGAGGTGCTCAATGGGGGTGTAGGGGATCTAGGAGGTGATTTGGGCTTTGGGGTTCGGCGGGGCTTTAATGGGGATTGAGGGGGTTAAGGGGGGGTTATAGGGGATCTAGGAGGTGATTGGGGCTTTGGGGTTGTGGAGGGGGGTAATGGGGATTGAGGTGCTCAATGGGGGTTATAGGGGGTCTAGGAGGTGTTTGGGGGTGTGGAGGGGGGGTAATGGGGATTGAGGTGCTCAGTGGGACTTACTGGGGGTTTTAGGGGCTCTGGGGTTGGGGGTGGTTGTAATGGGGGATTGAGATGCTTGGGGGGCTGAATGGTGCTAATGGGGGGGGTTAGGAGGTCTGGAGGTTCTTGGTGCTTTGGGGGGGGCTGTATCGGGGGCTTGCGATGCTGAACGGGGCCAATGGGGGTTAATGGGAGGTTTGGGGGGTCCGGGAAGTGCTTGGGGTGCAGCGGGGCGAGGCGGTGCTGAGCCCCCCCCCCGTTCCCCCCCCGTTGCAGCTGCACCCGGGCGTGGGGCCGGGGCAGGGCACGGTGGTGGAGCTGCTCCTGACGGCGCAGTTCGTGCTCTGCGCCCTCGCCAGCTTCGACGAGCGCCACGACGGGCGCCCGGGCTCGGCCGCGCTCCCCATCGGCTTCTCCCTCGCCCTCGGCCACCTCTTCGGGGTAAGAGCGGCCGCGGGGGGTCCCCGCCTCGGGGGGCAGCGGGGCCGGGTCCCGCACCCACCGCCGCTCCCCCTCCCATTAGATCTATTACACGGGCGCCAGCATGAACCCGGCGCGCTCCTTCGCGCCCGCCGTCATCACCCGCAACTTCACCAACCACTGGGTAAGAGCTGCGGGGGGGACCCCATCCCTCCCACAGCCCTCCCCCATCCCTCCCACATCCCTCCCCCATCCCTCCCACAGCCCTCCCGCATCCTCCCCTCATCCCTCCCGCATCCCTCCCGCATCCTCCCCTCATCCCTCCCGCATCCTTCCCTCATCCTTTCCTCAACCTCCCCACATCCCTCCCGCATCCTCCTCACATCCCTCCTGCATCCTTCCCGCATCCCTCCCACATCCTCCCCTCATCCCTCCCGTATCCCTCCTGCATCCTCCCCCCATCCCTCCCACATCCTTCCTCATCCTTCCCTCATCCTCCCCACATCCCTCCCGCATCCTCCTCACATCCTTCCTGCATCCTTCCCGCATCCCTCCCACATCCTCCCCTCATCCTTCCCGTATCCCTCCTGCATCCTCCCCCCATCCCTCCCTCAACCTTCCCACATCCCTCCCACATCCCTCCCGTATCCTTCCCGGATCCCTCCCGCATCCCTCCTGCATCCTTCCCACATCCCTCCCTCATCCCTCCCGGATCCCTCCCGTATCCCTCCTCCGGGACCCCCCCCCGTCTCACTGCGCTGGGTATCGGGGTCCCCGGTGCCGGTACCCACCCCGCGCCCCCCCCCCCCCGCAGGTGTTCTGGGCGGGCCCGGTGCTGGGCGCGGCGCTGGGCTCGGTGCTCTACGAGTTCGCGCTGTGCCCGCGGCCGCGCAGCCTGGCCGAGCGCTTGGCGGCCCTCAAGGGAGCTCCGCCCGTTACCGAGCCGCCTCCTTCGCCGCCGGCGGAGCCGCTGGAGCTCAAGACTCAGGGCTTGTAGGTCCCGGCCGCCCCGCCGCTTGGCTGCGTTGTGGTGCGTGTGTGTGCGGCGGGCGGCGGCGGGGCCCGGCCCCCGCGAACCGCCGCGGCGGGAGCGCTGTGTTCGGTGCATTAAACGGCAGCGTTTATTTTGGTAACCGGCAGTGCCCGGCGCCGGGGATGGAAACAGAGGGGATGGGGACAGCGGGGATGGAGGGGAGCGGGGATGGGGAGAGCGGGGATGGAGGCAGCGGGGATGGAGGGGAGCAGCGATGGAGGGGAGAGGGGATGGAGGGAGTGGGGATAGGGGGAGCGGGGATGGAGGGGAGTGGGGATGGAGACAGCGGGGATGGGGACAGCGGGGATTGTGGGAGAAGCGGGTTTGGGAGGGAGCGGGGATGGGGAGAGTGGGGGATGGAGGGGAGCGGGGATGGAGGGGAGCTGGGGATGGGGACACCGGGGATTTGGACAGGGGAATGGAGGCGAGCGGGGATGGAGGGGAGCGGGGATGGAGACAGCGGGGATTTGGACAGGGGAGATGGAGGGGAGCGGGGATGGGGAGAGCGGGGGTGGAGGCAGCGGGGATGGAGGGGATCTGGGGTTAAGGGAACCGGGGAGGGAGACGACCGGGAATGGAGACGACCGGGGATGGAGGGGAGCGGGGATGGGGACACCGGTGATGGGGACCGGGGATGGAGGGGAGCGGGGATGGGGACAGCGGGGATGGTGGAACGGGGGACAGGGGAGCTACCGGGGATGGGGAGAACCGGGAATGGGGGACACCAGGGATGGGGACAGGGGGATGGGGAGAGCCGGGGATGCTGGGGACCATTCTGAGCCCGCGTCGCCCTGGCAACCGCGCGGGGACTGCCGGGAGGGGAGGTGCGGTCCTTTCCCGCGCTCGCGGTGGAGTCCCAGCGCTGCGCCGCGCTTAAAGGGGCAACGCCGCGCACGCGCGCTCCTCCGGTTTGGGGGGCACCGCATCCCTGGGAGCGGGGGGGAGGGGTGGAACCGTTGCGGGAGAGAAGGGGGAGGGGCTGCGGGGCGGCAGGAGGCGGGCGGGGGGGGGAAGGGGGGGGAGGGGGTGTGGCCCCAGCGCGTGCCCAGCGCGGGAGTTTCCGCTTTAAGCCCATGAGCGGGGCGGGGCCTCCCAGCGCGGGAACTGCGGGGCCTCTTGGCGGGAGCTGCGGCCCCGGCCCCGGTTTGGAGGCGGTGGTTGGGGAACCCCGGCTCGCACAAGGCCCCCGTTACCGGCACCGCTGCGGGGACGGGTCCGGGATGGACTCCGAGCTCCTGGCTACCTGCAGCGCTCTGGGCTACCTGGAAGGGGCCGAGTACCACCGGGAGCCCGACTGCCTGGGTACGGAGCGCTCGGGGCGGGGATGCGGGGCTCGGGATGCGAGATGCGGGGTTCACGGCTCCGTGTCCCGTCCCCCCCCATTCAGAGAGCGTGAAGGACCTGATCCGGTTCCTGCGCCATGAGGACGAGACCCGGGATGTGCGGCAGCAGCTGGGGGCGGCGCAGATCCTGCAGAACGATCTCCTGCCCATCCTGGTGCAGTACCCGCAGGACAGGGCCCTCTTCGATGCCGTGGTCAGGTACAAGGGGGCTCGGTGGGGGGGGGGGTTCGGGTGGTCCCATAGGGCTCCCCCCATGGAGCATCATTGCTCGGTGGTGGGGAGGGTTGGGGTGGTCCCATAGGGCCCCCTCCATGGAGCATCATTGCTCGGTTTGGGGGGGGTTCGGGTGGTCCCATAGGGCCCCCCCCATGGAGCATCATTGCTCGGTGGTGGGGGGGGTTCAGGTGGTCCCATAGGGCTCCCCCCATGGAGCATCATTGCTCGGTTGTGGGGGGGGTTCGGGTGGTCCCATGGGGCTCCCCCCATGGAGCATCACTGCCCCCCGCAGGCTCATGGTGAACCTGACGCAGCCGGCGCTGCTCTGCTTCGGCAAAGTCCCCGCGGACGCCGGCTCCAGGCACCACTTCCTGCAGGTGGGGTCTTACCTGCAGGCCTATAAAGAGGTGAGTGTGGACCCCCCCCACAACGGGCTGGGGGCGCTGTTTGTGCCCCCCCTCGCTCACACGGGGCTCTCTGCAGGCGTTTGCCAGTGAGAAGGTGTTTGGGGTGCTCAGTGAGAAGCTCTATGACCTCCTGCAGCTCGTGAGTGCCACGGCCCCGCATGGGCTCCATCCCTGGGGGTGCTGCGGGGACCCCTCCCGGCTCCATCCCTGGGGGTGCTGTGGGGACCCCTCTTGGCCCCATCCCTGTGGGTGCTATGGGGACCCCTCCCAGCTCCATCTCTGTGGGTGCTATGGGGACCCCTCACAGCTCCATCCCTGTGGGTGCTATGGGGACCCCTCACAGCTCCATCCCTGTGGGTGCTATGGGAACCCCTCCCGGCCCCATCCCTGTGGGTGCTGTGGGGACCCCTCTTGGCCCCATCCCTGTGGGTGCTATGGGGACCCCTCCCGGCCCCATCCCTGGGGGTGCTATGGGGACCCCTCTTGGCCCCATCCCTGTGGGTGCTATGGGGACCCCTCCCGGCCCCATCCCTGTGGGTGCTATGGGGACCCCTCACGGCCCCGTGCCCGCAGGACTGGGAGCAGCGGCAGGAGGAGGACGCGCTGCTCATCGAGAGGATCCTGCTGCTGGTGCGCAATGTGCTGCACGTGCCCCCGGACCCCAGCGAGCAGCAGGTACCCCATGGGCCCCTTCACCTCTGCGGCCATCCTGGGGGGGGGGTGCTGCTGATCCCCCCCTTTCCCATCTCCCCCAGCTCGTGGATGGCGACGCCACCGTGCACGACCGGGTGCTGTGGGCGCTGCACCTCAGCGGCATGGACGATCTGCTCAAGTTCCTGGCCAGCGCCCAGGCGGAGCAGCAATGGGCGCTGCACGTCCTGGAGATCATCTCCCTCATGTTCCGGGACCAGGCGAGTGGGACAGGGGGCAGGGACCCCCCCATGGACCCCCCCATCCCCATCCCATGGCGCTGATGATGCTGCCCACCCATGGACCCCCCCATCCCATCCCCATCCCATGGCGCTGATGGTGCTGCCCACCCATGGACCCCCCCATCCCCATCCCATGGCTCTGATGGTGCTGCCCCCCCATGGACCCCCCCATGGCGCTGATGTGCTGCCCACCCATGGACCCCCCCATCCCCATCCCATGGCGCTGATGATGCTGCCCCCCCATGGACCCCCCCATCCCCATCCCCATCCCATGGCGCTGATGATGCTGCCCACCCATGGACCCCCCCATCCCCATCCCCATCCCATGGCGCTGATGATGCTGCCCACCCATGGACCCCCCATCCCCATCCCATGGCGCTGATGATGCTGCCCCCCCATGGACCCCCCCATCCCCATCCCATAGCGCTGATGGTGCTGCCCGCAGAGCCCCCAGGACCTGGCGGTGCTGGGGCAGAGCCAGGCGGGTGCTGAGCACAGGGAGGACACTCGGGAGCTGCAGAGCCTGCGGCAGAGGGAGCTGGCGGAGAAGAGGACCCGGGCGCTGCAGCGCCCCTATAGGTGAGGGCAGGGGGGTGGCAGCACCGGGACCCCCCTAAGTGGGTTCCGCAGCGCTCACCCCACATCCCCCCCCCATTGCTCCAGGCACTCCCGGTTCGGCGGCTCCTACGTGCTGCAGGGCCTGAAGGCGATCGGGGACCGGGATGTGGTGTTCCATGGGGGGCTGCACAAGGTGAGCCCCGATGGGGATGCGGTGATGGTGTCGGTGTATGGGGGTGATGCTGGAGGGGTCCCAACCCGGTTCAATGCCCGCAGCTGAAGAGCTACAGCCACGACCTGGGCAAGGAGCCGCGGCGAGTGCCCCGGCGGCGCCAGGCAGCCCCCGAGGCCGAGCTTCGGCACCGCTCGGCGCGCAACGTCCGCCTCTTCCTGCGCCGCTTCTGCCAGGACTTCCTGGAGGGCTGCTACAACCGCCTCATGCTGCTGGTGAAGGTGATGGGGGGCAATGGGGCTGGGACCCCCTGCATGGGGATGTGGGGCAGCCCCAATGGGGCTGGGACCCCCTGCATGGGGATGTGGGGCAGCCCCAATGGGGCTGGGACCCCCTGCATGGGGATGTGGGGCAGCCCCAATGGGGCTGGGACCCCCTGCATGGGGATGTGGGGCAGCCCCAATGGGGCTGGGACCCCCTGCATGGGGATGTGGGGCAGCCCCAATGGGGCTGGGACCCCCTGCATGGGGATGTGGGGCAGCCCCCATCGCCGCCGCGCTCAGCCCCACGGCCTGTGCCCCACAGGACCACTTGGTGCGGGAGAGGGCTCAGCAGCACGATGAGACCTATTACCTATGGGCTTGTGCCTTCTTCATGGCCTTCAACCGGCACCGCGGCTTCCGCCCGGAGCTGGTGTCCGAGACCGTGGGCGTCCGCGCCTTCCAGTTCATGGAGCGGAACCTCACCACCTACTACGAGATGGCGCTGGTGGACAAGAAGGAGGCCGTGACCTGGGCGCGCAGGTGGGTGCTGGGGTGGCCCCCATGGGCGGTTCAATGGGGCTCGGATGCAAGGGGTCCCCGTTGGGGCTGGGTGAGCTTCAGGGTCCCTCCTCCTCAGGATGCACTTGGCTCTCAAGGCGTACCAGGAGCTGCTGCTCACGCTGCAGGAGATGGACCGGTCCCCGGAGCCGGCGGTGCGGGACAGCAGCCAGGTCATCAAGAGTGAGTCCCGTTATCCCATTGCATCCATCCCGCACTGGGGAGCCCCATTGCATCCATCCCGCACTGGGGAACCCCATTGCATCCGTCCCGCACTGGGGAACCCCATTGCATCCATCCCGCATTGGGGAACCCCATTGCATCCATCCCGCACTGGGGAACCCCATTGCATCCGTCCCGCACTGGGGAACCCCATTGCATCCATCCCGCACTGGGGAACCCCATTGCATCCGTCCCGCACTGGGGAACCCCATTGCATCCGTCCCGCACTGGGGAACCCCATTGCATCCGTCCCGCACTGGGGAACCCCATTGCATCCGTCCCGCACTGGGGAACCCCATTGCATCCGTCCCGCACTGGGGAGCCCCATTGCATCCGTCCCGCACTGGGGAACCCCATTGCATCCGTCCCGCACTGGGGAACCCCATTGCATCCGTCCCGCACTGGGGAACCCCATTGCATCCGTCCCACTGGGGACCCCATTGCATCTCCCGCACGGGGAACCCCATTGCATCCGTCCCACCTGGGAACCCCATTGCATCCGTCCCGCACTGGGGAGCCCACTGCTCCGTCCCGCACTGGGGAACCCCATTGCATCCCTCCCGCACTGGGAACCCCATTGCATCCCTCCCGCACTGGGGAACCCCATTGCATCCATCCCACATGGGGAACCCCATTGCATCCGTCCCGCACTGGGGAACCCCATTGCATCCGTCCCGCACTGGGGAACCCCATTGCATCCGTCCCGCACTGGGGAACCCCATTGCATCCATCCCGCACTGGGGAACCCCATTGCATCCATCCCGCACTGGGGAACCCCATTGCATCCATCCCGCACTGGGGAACCCCATTGCATCCGTCCCGCACTGGGGAACCCCATTGCATCCGTCCCGCACTGGGGAACCCCATTGCATCCATCCCGCACTGGGGAACCCCATTGCATCCATCCCGCACCGGGGAACCCCATTGCATCCCTCCCGCACTGGGGAACCCCATTGCATCCATCCCGCACCGGGGAACCCCATTGCTCCCCTTCTCCCCAGGCAACATCTTCTACGTGCTGGAGTACCGGGAGCTCTTCCTGGCGCTCTTCCGCCGGTTGGACGAGGCCCAGCACCCGCGCAGCTTCCTGCGGGACCTGGTGGAGACGGCGCATCTCTTCCTGCGCCTGCTGCAGCGCTTCTGCCGCGCCCGCTCCAGCCTCGTGGTGCAGGTGGGGATGGGGCGCGCCCCACTGCGGGCAGCGCTATGGGGCTCACAGCCCCCCCATCACCCTGTGCTTGGTCCCCTATAGAGCAAGCGAGTGCGGAGGAAGAAGCAGCCCCGCGCGCCCGCAGCCGCAGCCCCGCAGCCGCCCAGCGCCGAGGAGCTGCAGGGGCTGTGGGCAGGGCTGGCCCCACAGCTTCAGGCCTGTCTGCAGGTAGGGGATGGCCCCAGCCCCATAGCGGGGAGCTTGGGGGGGTGCTGTGGGGCACAAGGTGACAGTGTCCTGCATAGGGCGAGGTGCCGCTCCCCGAGGACCTGGTGCCCTTCGATGCCGCATCGGAGACGCCGGTGGAGGAGCAGCGCGCCGAGGCCCTGCTGCGGATCCAGGGGTGCCTGCGGGATGCTCGGGTCCCACAGGCCCTGCGGCTGCTCCGCGCTGCCCGGTACCGGCACCGTCCCCATCCCACATGAACACCATGATAACCATGATGGGCATTCCCAGTGCATGGACACCATGATAACCGTGATGGGCATTCCCAGTGCATGGACACGGTGATGGGCATTCCCAGTGCATGGACACGGTGATGGCCATGATGGGCATTCCCAGTGCATGGACACGGTGATGGGCATTCCCAGTGCATGGACATGGTGATGGGCATTCCCATTGTATGGACACGGTGACAGCCTCTCCCTACGCCTCCATAGGGATGTATGGCCCGAAGGGGATGTGTTCGGCCCCCCCAGTGCGGGACCCTCTGAGGAGACCCAGCTGCTCCAGGACATCCTCTTTGCTCCTCTGCCCCGTGAGTCCACAGCACCAGCAATGGGGATGGGGGGGGGGGCTCTGGTTTGGGGCTGCCCCAGCCCCTCAGCACTGCCCCATTGCAGAGCACGCACCCCCCGAGCCTGAGGAGCCGGAGGAGGAGGAGGAGGAGGAGGAGGAAGAGGAGGAAGCGACCGTGCAGGTGTCGGAGAAGGAGTTCAACTTCCTCGACTACCTCAAGCGGTGAGGGGGGACCCGGATGGGGGGGTTTGGGGTCCCCATTGGCCTCAGTGTCCCCACTCACTGGTACTATGGGGACAGGTTCGCCTGCCCCCCCGTGGTGCGGGCGCTGGTGCTGGTGCTGCGGGGGTACCCCCACAACAGCGCCCGCACCAACCACTGCGCCGCGCGCCTGCTGCACCGCCTGGCCCGCGACCTGCGCATGGAGCCGCTGCTCTTCCAGCTCTCGCTCTTCGCCCTCTTCCACCGGCTCCTGCAGGACCCGGCCGCCGGCGCGCACCAGGTCCGGTGGGGCCCGTGTCCATCGCCCCGTCCCGGGGGGGGGATCGGGGTCCGCGGTGACCCCCGGCTCCGCTGTCGCCCGCAGGAGCTGGTGGCCTTGGCCAGGTTCGTGCTGGGCAAGTTCTTCGCGCTGGCGGCCACCAACAAGAAGGCGTTCGTGGAGCTGCTCTTCTGGAAGAGCCCAGCGGCCGCCCGGGAGATGACCGAGGGCTACGGCTCCCTGCGGGAGGGAGAGGGGTGAGCGGGGCTGGCAATGGGGCTGCTGCCCTCCTGTTCCCTCCCTTTACCCTCCTATCACATCCTGTTGCATCCTGTCACATCCTATTGCACCCTATTGCATCCTGTCGCACCCTATTGCATCCTGTTGCATCCTATTGCATCCTGTCCCATCCTATTGCATCCTATTGCATGCTATCGCATCCTATCGCATCCTGTTGCATCCTATCGCACCCTATCACATCCTATCGCACACTATCACACCCTATTGTATCCTGTCACCTTCTATCACATCCTGTCATCTCCTGTTGCATCCTGTTGCATCCTGTCATGCACACTATCGCATCCCTTTGTCTCCTGTTACATCTTATCTCATCCTATCGCACCCTATTGCACACTAGCATAGCCTATCACACACTATCACACCCTGTTGCATCCTATTGCCTCCTGTCGCATCCTATCGCACACTATCACACCTTGTCACACCCTATTGTATCCTGTCACCTTCTATCACATCCTGTCATCTCCTGTTGCATCCTGTTGCCTCCTGTCACATCTTATCGCATCCTATCACACCCTATCGCACATTATCACATCCTGTCGCACATTATCACACCCTATTGCACACTATCACACCCTGTCGGATCCTATCGCCTCCTGTCGCATCCTGTTGCATGCTATCGCATCCTATCGCCTCCTATCTCACCCTATCACACCCTGTTGCCTCCTATCGCATCCTATCGCACCCTATCACACCCTATCACACCCTATCGCACCCTATCGCACCCTATCACACCCTATCGCACCCTATCGCACCCTATCACACCCTGTCACACCCTATCGCATCCTATGGCTCCTGTTACCTCTCTCACCTCTCCTCTGTCTCTGCCCAGGGCTGCCAGGAGCCGAGCTCCCCCCTGGACCCCGCAGGAGGAGCAGGAGCTGCGGGAGCTCTATTGGAAGTACAAGGAGGTGGAAGGTACCAGGGCTGGGGCCGGGGGGGGCACAGCGGGGAGGGCAGCGATGGGGCAGGGGCTCCATCCCTGTCCCTGTGCCCCTGCAGGCTTGGACGTGGCCGGAGCCATCCTGGCGCAGCTCCCGGCGCCGGGGCGCAGCCGCAGGCACCTGGTGAAGCACTTGGTGCACTTGGGGCTCATCGGCAGCGCCCGCGAGCTCCCGCGGCTGAGGTGGGTGTGGGGCCCCAGGAGCGGGGCGGGCGCTGAGCCCCAAGGCTGGGACTGACCCCCTGTGTGCCCCCCCTGCCCCAAGGAAGGGCACCCGCATCGTGCTGTGGACGCAGGAGCAGGAGGAGGAGCTGGCGCGGCTCTTTGAGGAGTTCCGGGGCTCGGATGGTGAGGGGGCAGCCCCCATGTCCCTCATTGTTTCCCCCTTATCCTTCTCTTATTCCCCCCATTATCCCTCCCTTGTTCCCCCAGTATCCCCCATTATCCCCCAGTATCCCCCATTATCCCCCAGTATTTCCCTCTGTTATCCCACTCTTATTCCCCACCATGATCCCCTATTTTCCCCCTTTGTTATCCCCCATTTTCTCCTCCTTTATCCCCCATTATTTCTTGGTTATTCCCCCATTATCCCCCATTATTTCCCTCTGTTACCCCCTCTTATTCCCCACCATGATCCCCTATTTTTCCCCTTTGTTATCCCCCATTTTCTCCTCCTTTATCCCCCATAATTTTCCCATTATCCCCCATTATTTCCATCTCTTGTCCCCCTCTTATTCCCACCATGATCCCCATTTCCCCCTTTGTTATCCCCCATTTTCTCCTCCTTTATCCCCAATTATTTCTTGGTTATTCCCCCATTATCCCCCATTATTTCCCTCTGTTACCCCATCTTATTCCCTGCCATGATCCCCTATTTTCTCCCTTTGTTATCCCCCATTTTCTCCTCCTTTATCCCCCATTATTTCTTGGTAATTCCCCCATTATCCCTCTTATTCCCCCCATTATAACCCATGTTATCCCCCATTATTTCTCCCATTATCCCCCCATTATCCCCCTCTATCCCCCTCTATCCCCCCCATCCTCTCCTCATTGCCCCCCCAGACGTGCTGGGCCGCATCCTGCAGCACCTCACGGCGCGGCGCTCGCGGGCCCGGGTCGTGGACAAGCTCCTGGCGCTGGGGCTGGTGGCGACGCGCGCCGAGCTCTACAAGAGGCACCGGAGGAAGGGCCAGGGCCCGGTACCGGTACCGTGGTGGTGGGGATGGGGGGGGCACCCAGTGGGTGCTGCTCCATCACAGGCACCCAGACCCCATTGGTCCCCATAGGGAGCCGCGGCAGCGCTGGTCCAGGACCCCTCTGAGGATGGGGACAGCGAGGAGGAGGAGGAGGATGAAGAAGATGAAGCCCCCATGGAGGGGGCTGAGGAAGGGGGCGGGCAGGGCCTGGCGCAGCGGCTGCATCAGGAAGGTGGGTTCAGGGTTCAGAGCCCCCCCATTGGGCTCTGCTTTGGCTGTGGGGCCGCATCCAATTCACCCATGGCTGTCCCCAGGGCTGGCCGGGCCCCTGCGCTGGCTCCAGAGCTGCCTGCGGAGGACGGCGGGGGACCGGGAGGAGGATGGTGAGTGCTGGGGGTGATGGTGATGGTGATGGTGATGGTGATGGTGATGGGGGGGGGGGGGTCTGGAGGACGGCGGGGGACCGGGAGGAGGATGGTGAGTGCTGGTGCTGGTGCTGATGCTGGTGGTGATGGTGATGGTGATGGGGGGGGGGGTGTCTGGAGGATGGCGGGGGACCGGGAGGAGGATGGTGAGTGCTGGTGCTGGTGCTGATGCTGGTGGTGATGGTGATGGTGATGGGGGGGGGTGTCTGGAGGACGGCGGGGGACCGGGAGGAGGATGGTGAGTGCTGGTGCTGGTGCTGATGGTGATGGTGATGGTGGTGATGGTGATGGGGGTGGTGGTGTGGGGGAGGGCTGTGGAGGAGAGGGGGAGGGAGCGGGAGGAGATGGTGAGTGGGGGGGGTGATGGTGATGGTGATGGTGATGGGGGGGGGGTCTGGAGGACAGCGGGGGACCGGGAGGAGGATGGTGAGTGCTGGTGCTGGTGCTGGTGCTGGTGCTGGTGATGGGGGTGGGGGTGATGGGGGGGTCTGGGGCCCGATCCGGGGCTCACCGGGGGGCTCCCGGGGCTCAGGCACCTCCCACCCGGTGCCGCTGGTGCCGCTCTCGGAGGAGAATGAGGACGCGATGGAGAACCGGAGCTTCCAGGCGCTGCTGCGGGGGCTGGGGCTGCGGCCCCCCGAGAGCGAGCAGGTGAGGGACCGCTCCCCGGCCCTGCTCCCTGGCCCAGTCCCCATCCCTGTCCCCATCCCTGTCCCAGTCCTGCTTCCCATCCTCTCCCTGTTCCCATCCCTGTCCCTATGCTTGTTCCCATCCCCATCCCAGTCCCCCTTCCCCTTCCCATCCTGCTTCCCATTCCTGTCCCTATGCTTGTCTCCATCCCCATCCCAGTCCCGCTTTCCCTTCCCATCCTGCTTCCCGTTCCCATCCCTATCCCTGTGCTTGTTCCCATCCCCATCCCCGTCCTCCTTTCCATTCTCATCCCAGGTCCCATCCCTGTCCCTGATCCCCTCCACGTTCCCATTCCCATCCCCATCTCTATCCCCCCCTCGTCTCCACCCGCATCCCGATTCCCATCCCGGTTCCCATCCCCTGCTCCCATCCCGGTTCCCATCCCCTGCTCCCATCCCGGTTCCCATCCCCTGCTCCCATCCCGGTTCCCATCCCCTGCTCCCATCCCGGTTCCCATCCCCTGCTCCCATCCCGGTTCCCATCCCCTGCTCCCATCCCGGTTCCCATCCCCTGCTCCCATCCCGGTTCCCATCCCCTGCTCCCATCCTCTCCCTGCCCCATCTCCCCTCTCCACCCAGGAAACCTTCTGGCGCATCCCGGCTGCGCTCACCCCCCGCCAGCTCCGCCGTGCGGCCGCCTCCATCACCCCCCTCGGCCCCGACCCCTTGGGGTCCCCCCAGGAGCTGCCGGAGCCCCCCCAGTGCCCGCAGGACCCTGACCCAGGTAAGGCCGTGGGGCAGTTGGAGCTGATGCTCTGCAGGCTCTTCCCACCCCATTGATCCCATGGCTCTTGTGCCCAGCAGCATCACCGCAGCCACTGGATTCAGAGAGGTGAGAACTGGTCCCATCCCCACACTGGGGTCCCTGAACTGGTCCCTGAGCCCTGTCCCCACCACTGCAGTGAGGAGCCTGACCCCAGCCCGGTGCAGCCCCACACCAAGAGGCAACGGGACCTGGACAGCGAGGACGAGGCCTCCGGTGGGTCCAGCCTGGCGCTGGTTGGGGGGTTCATGGGTGCCCCCCTTGTCCCCGCACCCCTGGGTTGGGTGCTCAGCCCCTTCCCTGCCCCATTCAGGCCCAGCGCTGCCCGCAGGGGATGAGGATGAGGATGAGGAGCTGCAGCCCCTGGGGAGGAGGAAGCGCATCCGATGCTTGGAGGAGGAGGAGGAGGAGGGAGACTGAAGCCCCCCGTGGGCTGTTTCCCACAGGTTTTAGGGGTGCTGTGGAAGCGCCTGGTCCCCTTGTCCTGCTCTCTCCGTTTCCTTGTTCCAGCCCCAAATCCCCCTTTCCCCATGGGTTTGGTTCCTTCCGGGGTGTTTTTTCCCCGACCCCATTAACCTCCGTAACCACTCAATAAATCGATGCCGTTCTTGGCCTCCTCTGCTCCGTGGGGCTGGGGTCCTGCCCGTGCGCGCTGCCCTGGCCCTGGCCCTGGCCCTGCCCCATGTCCCAGCCCCTCGTGTCGCAACAGCCCCGATAACAGCGCCTATAAAGGGGCCACAGGGGCTGTGCCTGCAGCCACAGCACTGGGACGGGGCAGGGACCACCAGGGAGTGGGTGAGCGGGGGCTGTGGTTATACCATGGGGGCTATGGTTAGACCATGGGGGGCTGTGGTTATACCATGGGGGCTATGGTTATACTATGGGGGGCTGTGGTTATACCATGGGGGGCTATGGTTATACCGTGAGGGGGGGTTGTGATTATACCATGGGGGGCTGTGGTTGTACCATAGGGGGCTATGGTTGTACCATAGGGGCTGTGGTTATACTATGGGGGGCTATGGTTATACTATGGGGGGCTGTGGTTGTACCATATGGGGGGCTATGGTTATACCGTGGGGGGCTGTGGTTATACCATAGGTGGGGATATGGTTATACCATGGGTGGCTATGGGTATACTATGGGGGTGGCTGTGGTTATACCGGGGGTGGCTGTGGTTATACCATGGTGGGGGCTGTGGTTATACCGTGGGGTGCTGTGGTTATACCATGGGGGGGGCTGTGGTTATACCATGGGGGGCTGTGGTTATACCATAGGGGGCTGTGGTTATACCGTGGGGGTGGCTATGGTTATACCATGGGGGTGGCTGTGGTTTTACCATTGGGGTTAACAGCGCTCTGCCCCTCCATAGGCGATCCCGGAGCTGCGCCATGCCCCGGGCTCTGCTCTTCCTCCTCCTCCTCCTCCTCCCGCCCCCGGGCCCCGTGCCCCCGGCTCTGGCTGCGGATCCCGGTGCCGCGGCGCTGCTGGCGGAGCTGGCGCAGCAGAACCCGGCCCGGCCCTTGCGGGACCGCTCGTTCCCATGCGGGGCCCTGCTCCCCGCAGCCCTGCCCGGCTTCCCCTCGCTCCCCTCGGGGCCGCGGGCTCTGGTCCGCGCCGCCATGGCCCTGGCCCTCAGCGGCGCCTCCTGCAGCGCCGAGGCTGAAGCCGAGGTGCGGGGCTTGATGCGGGAGCTGGGTCCGGCCGCGGCCGCTGCGCTGCTGCGGGGCCTGGCGCGGCTGCGGCGGGACCCGGCTCCCGAAGCCGCGGCTCGGGTCCTGCTCCTCCTGGCCCCCGCATCCCGGAGCATCGCGGAGCCGCGGGGCCGCGGGGCCGTGCGGAGGCAGCGCGGGGCTGCCGATGCCTGCGCCCCGCCGGGGGAGCGGGAGGCCCATGGGGTGCTGGGGTGGGTGCCGGGGGTCAGCGCCTTCTACAACCTGGGCACCAGCGTCTACTTCGCCTTCCAGGGCTGCGAGGCTCTGGCCTCCAGGCGGGCGCTGGAGGCGGCCGAGGACCTGGGCTACGCCAGCCTGGCCGCGATCGCCGCTGCCGCCGGCGGCCCCGTGGCGCTGGGGGTGCAGATGGGGCTGCAGCCGGGGCTCAAGGCGGGGGTGCGGGCGCTCATCGCTTACTTCACGTCGGAGGGGGAGCCCCCGCCGGTGCCCAGCGCCCACAGCGGCCCCGTGCTCATGGTGTGAATAAAGGCCCCTGCTGGCTCCGTGTCCCTTGGCTGCGGCAGGATCGATGCGGGGCCGCCCTGCCCCGGGACACGGGGACCTTGGCCCCCGAGGGGGGCCCTGCCAGAGCCACGTGGTGGCAGCCGGCCTGGCCCCGGCACTGTCCCCAGGGCTCCCTCTCCATGTCCCTGTCGCAATGCCTTGGCCTCCTGCTTCCTTGTCCCCGTATCTCTGTCCCTGTGTCCTTATCCCGATGTCCTTCATCCCTGTCCCTATGTCCTTATCTCTATGTCCCCCATCCCTATCCCCATATCCTTGTCCCCATGTCCTTATCCCTATATTCCCCATACCTATCCCCATATCCTTATCCCTATGTCCCCCATCCCTGTCCCAGTCCCCCTATTCCATGTCACTGTCCCTATGTCCTTATCCCTATGTCCCCTATCCCCATATCCTTATCCCTATGTCCCCAATCCCTGTCCTGGTCCCCCTATTCCATGTCCCTGTCCCCATGTCATTACCCCTATGTCCCCCGTCCCTATCCCCTATGTCCCCCATCCCTATCCCCATATCCTTATCCCTATATCCCTATCCCATATCCTTATTCCTATGTCCCCCATCCCTAACCCCATATCCTTATCCCTATATTCCCCATCCCTATCCCCATATCTTTGTCCCTATGTCCCCCATTCCTATCCCATACCCTTGTCCCTATGTCCCCCATCCTGTCCCAGTGCCCCCATTCCATGTCCCCCATCCCAAGTCCCTGTCCCCATCTCCCGCTGTCCCCATCCCTGCTTCCCCTTTGGCCCCGCCCCGTGACGTCATTTCGGGGAACCGGGCAACCCCACTGGAACCACCCCTCCACCCCGGGAGGGGGCGTGGCCTCCCCGCCGCGCTCCGCCAATCACCGCGAGCAGCTGCCGGGGGGCGTGGCCTCCGCCCCTTCCTGCACCGGGAGCCGCCGAGGTGGGGCCCAACGGGGGGGACCCGGGACGGGGACCCCGGGACGGGCACGGGGGGGGGGGGCCCAGTGCGCGGACCCCATGGGGGTGAACCGGGGGTGGGGGGGGCGGTGTCGGGGGGTCCGTGCGAGGGGGCCCGGGGGGAGCAGGGGGTGCGGGAGCCCCGGGCTCGGGTCCCGGCCCCGGGCAGCTCCGCCGCGGCTCAGGGCTCCCTCCCGGCCCAGGACGGGGCTGCGGCGCTGGGCGCTGCCGGCGGAGCAGCGGGAACCGGGAGCACCGGGAGCACCGGGAGCACCGCGCTGCGGGCAGGTACCGGAGGGGAGGGAGCTCTGGGGGGAGCTCTATGGGGCTAGAGAGAGCTCTATGGGGTGCTCCATAGGGCTAGAGAGTGCTCTATGGGGCTAGAGAGTGCTCTATGGGGTGCTCTATAGGGCTAGAGAGTGCTCTATGGGCTGCTCTATGGGGCTAGAGAGTGCTCTATGGTCTGCTCTATGGGGCTGGAGAGTGCTCTATGGGCTGCTCTATGGGGCTAGAGAGTACTCTATGGGCTGCTGTATAGGGCTAGAGAGTGCTCTATGGGCTGCTCCATAGGGCTAGAGAGTGCTCTATGGTCTGCTCTATGGGGCTGGAGAGTGCTCTATGGGCTGCTCTATGGGGCTAGAGAGTACTCTATGGGCTGCTGTATAGGGCTAGAGAGTGCTCTATGGGCTGCTCTATGGGGCTAGAGAGAGCTCTATGGGGTGCTCCATAGGGCTAGAGAGTGCTCTATGGGGCTAGAGAGTGCTCTATAGGATGCTCTATGGGATGCTCTATAGGCTGCTCTGTGTTGTGCTCTATGGGATGCCCTGACCCGCCCCGTACCCCCCCCCAGCATGGCACAATGGCAGGAGGTGCAGAACTTGGCCAACGCGTACCTGGAGCAGATCCACCAGCTGTACGCCGGGGCCGCGCTGCCCATGGCCGTGCGCCAGTGCCTGGCTGCGTGGATCGAGGACCAGAACTGGTAACGGAGCCGGGAGGGAGCAGGGGATGGGGCCGGGGTTACCCCGGTGCCGAGCCCCCGGTGCTGAGCCCCCCGGTGCCGCAGGCACCAGGCAGCGGAGCCGCTCTCCTCCCGTGCCCGGATGCTCTTCCACTCCTTGCTGGTGATGCTGGGGGAGCGCCTGGGCAGCCTGGGGCTGGGCAATGAGGACTTCATGCTGAGGCACAACCTCCGCAAGGCGCATCGGGACCTGCAGGTAGGCGATGGGAGGGGGTGTTCGGTATTGGGGGGGGTCTTTGCCCCCCACATCCCCCCCCATTGACCCCCTCACCCCCTCCAAGGCCAAGTTCGAGGAGTGCCCGGAGACCTTCGCTAACCTGGTGGCCAACCTGCTGCAGGAGGAGCGGCGCATCCTGCGCCTGGGCCAGGCGGGGGGGCAGGTAAGGCAGGTCCCGTGCACCCCCCATCTTCCCCATTGCACCCCATGGGGCTCTGCCCCGCAGCACCCCCTCTGTTTCCATAGCGGGGGGCAGCCCCAGCACCCAGCCCGTCCCCAAGGAGCGACCGGGAGCAGCAGATCCAGCGGCGCTTGGCTGAGTTCCACACAGCCCTGCAGGTAACGGACCCCCCCATACCCCCATCCCCATATCCCGGGGGGGGGTGCCTGCCTCCTCACCCCCTTGTACCCCCCCAGGAAGCCGAACGCGCCTTCCAGCACCTCGAGGACAATCAGGACGCCTTTGACTTCTGCTTCAAGGTGCACTATGTGCCGGGTAAGGCTCAATCCTGCCCCACACTGCCCTGCGCCCCCCCTCCGTGAACCCCCTGAACCCCCAAACCCCACCCACAGGGGAGGACAGGAGCGGTGACCCCCAGTACGCGCAGCAGATCCAAGCGCTCCAGGCCAAGCTGCAGATCCTGGACCGGCAGCGGCGGGTGAGGCTGCGGGCTCCTTGGATGGGGTTTAAGTTGGGGGGGTCCGTGGCAATGCCCCCCCTCTGTTTGCTCATCCCCGTGTCCATCCATAGGAGATGCTGGCTCAGATACAGCAGCTCCTGGGGCGCAGCGAGACCCTGCGGGACTTCCTGCTGCAGGAGCTGGATGCATGGAGGGGCCGGCAGCAGCGCGCCTGCATGGGGGCCCCCGAGGACACCAACCTGCACCCATTGGAGACCTGGTAGTGATGGGGTGCATGAGGAAGGGGGGGGGCACAGGGCAAGGAGCGGACCCCACTGATGGAGGGGGGGGGCACAGGGCAAGGAGCGAACCCCACTGATGGAGGGGGGGGGGCACAGGGCAAGGAGCGGACCCCACTGATGGAGGGGGGGGCACAGGGCAAGGAGCGGACCCCACTGATGGAGGGGGGGCACAGGGCAAGGAGCGGACCCCACTGATGGAGGGGGGGGGCACAGGGCAAGGAGCGGACCCCACTGATGGAGGGGGGCACAGGGCAAGGAGGACCCCACTGATGGAGGGGGGGGGGCACCGCCACGGAGCGGACCCCACTGATGGAGGGGGGGGCACAGGGCAAGAAGCGGCCCCCACTGATGGAGAGGGGGGGCACAGGGCAAGGAGCGGACCCCACTGATGGAGGGGGGGGCACAGGGCAAGGAGCGGACCCACTGATGGAGGGGGGGGGCACAGGGCAAGGAGCGGACCCCACTGATGGAGGGGGGGGCACAGGGCAAGGAGCGGACCCCACTGAGGGAGGGGGGGGGCACGGGGACGGACCCCACTGATGGAGGGGGGGGGACAGGGCAAGGACGGACCCCACTGATGGAGGGGGGGCACAGGGCAAGGAGCGGACCCCACTGATGGAGGGGGGGGGCACAGGGCAAGGAGCGGACCCCACTGATGGAGGGGGGGGGGCACAGGGCAAGGAGCGGACCCCACTGATGGAGGGGGGGCAGAGGGCAAGGAGCGGACCCCACTGATGGAGGGGGGGGGCACAGGGCAAGGAGCGGACCCCACTGATGGAGGGGGGGGCACAGGGCAAGGAGCGGACCCCACTGATGGAGAGGGGGGGGCACAGGGCAAGGAGCGGACCCCACTGATGGAGGGGGGGGCGGGGGCAAGGAGCGGACCCCACTGATGGAGGGGGGGGTTCCGTTGCCACCGGTGCCGCAGGTTCACGGAGCTGGGCCAGGGGCTGTTCCAGCTGCTGCGGCTGCTGCGGGCGCTGGGGGAGCTGCGCCTGAAGGTGACCTACGAGAGGGACCCGCTCAAAGCAGAGCCCCCGCTGCTGGAGCAGCGCCTCAAGGAGCTCCTCGCGTACCTGCTGCAGAGGTGCGGGGGGGCACGCACATTGCGTTGGGGGGGGCACGCACATTGCGTTGGGGGGGCACGCACGCACATTGCGTTGGGGGGGGCACGCACATTGCGTTGGGGGGGGGAACGCACGCACATTGCGTTGGGGGGGCACACGCACATTGCGTTGGGGGGGGCACGCACATTGCGTTGGGGGGGCACGCACGCACATTGCGTTGGGGGGGGCACGCACATTGCGTTGGGGGGGGGAACGCACGCACATTGCGTTGGGGGGGCACACACGCACATTGCGTGGGGGGGGGCACGCACATTGCGTTGGGGGGGGCACGCACATTGCGTTGGGGAGGGGGAACGCACGCACATTGCGTTGGGGGGGGTGAAAGGGATGCGGGGGTCCTGACGCTCCCCACGGCAGAGCCTTCGTGGTGGAGCAGCAGCCCACGATGCCCAACGCCTTCAAGCGCCCCCTCGTGCTCCGCACCGCCACCAAGTTCTCTGCCCGCGCCCGCCTCCTCCTGCGCCTCCACGACCGCAACCACCCCATGGAGGCCTCGATCCACATCGATAGGTCCGGACCCCCCCTCCCCATCCATCAATGAGGGGGGGGATCCCCACTGATGCTCAACCCCCCCCATCCATCAATGAGTGGGGGGGGGATCCCCGCTGATGCTCTCTTGTCTATTGCAGGGACCCCCCCAAGATAAAGGGGTGAGAGATGAGTGATGGATGCAGGGGATGTGCCCCGACCCACCCCATCCGGGGGTCCCGGCCCCCCCACCCCATGCCTTTATCCCCCCCCCATCAGGTTCCGCAGGTTCAAC